CAAGGGCGCCGGGGACGCCGGCGCGCTCGGGAGCCGCAAGGCGCGCCCGGCAGCCCGGCCGCGCTGCGGCGGGGAGCGCCCGGCCCCGAAGGCCGCCGGGGCTGCAGCCGTCGCCGGGGGCCCATAGCTGGCTTCGTGCGTCCCGGAAGACATGGCGGGGCCCCACCCGTGAGGCGCTGTGGGTTGCAAAGGGGCCGCTCCGGGAGAGGCGGCGCGGGGGGCCCTAAGCGTCCCCGGGCAGTCCAGCTCGGCGGGGTGGCAGCTGTCGAGATCCGGTGCGGTTGCCGGGAGGGGGCCGCTCCGGCCCCAGCAAGGCGGCGGACGGCCTCCGGGCGCATGTCCCGCGGGGCTCGGGACGGGGTCTGCTCTTCCACAGCCGACTGACCTTGCAGACTTCGGCACTTTTGTCTCCGTTGTAAAATTGGGCCATGCTCGAGCTGCAGTAAAACAGCAAGTGCGAGAAGCAGCTTCGGACGTGCAGTTCCAGCAGCTGCCCGGGATCCCTCGTCGTGCCTCGCCCTGCCTGCCCCCTCGGTCGGTGGGGCTGCTCCGCGCTCGTCCACCTCGCGGCCCCTCGCCGAGGACCCGTTGCGCCCAGCGCCTCCTGCGTTCTCGCTTGCAGCTTGGGCAGTTAAATGCCTGCGGCAGCTTCACACGGTTTACCGGATGGTAGAATTGCCGGAGACACACCAGATGCTTCGTCAAACTTGCCGGGACTTTGCCGAAAGGGAACTGGTGCCCATCGCTGCTCAGCTGGATAAGGAGCACCGCTTTCCGGCAGAGCAGGTATGTGGTGCCTTTCCAGGTAACATGCCTGCCCAGCTGGCCGTCAAATAGCCGCAGTGCCTGGCTCTCATTCCTGCCTGTGGCGGGTGCCATCTCTTCGCTGACCTGTTTGTTTCCTTTTCCTTGAAGTGGGCAGCAGAGTTGGGCTGGGAGGGCCCAGGTTCAGGTTCCAGTTCCCACATAGCCCTGCAGCTCACTGGGTGACTTTAGGCCGAGAACCCCCCTCAGCACAACCTGCCTCACAGCACTGTTGTGTGGCTAAAGCATGAAGAGGAGGGGCTCACGTGGGCTCCTTGAGAGGATGTGTATTGAACAAATACAGCACTTTTAAGATAGGCACAGTTCTTTTTTACTTTTTACTTCTTTGACTTCTGCATCTAGAGAAACTGGATTTAGGACTGCAGGTGGCGCAGTGGTTTAAACTGCTGTGCTGCTGGGCTGGTTGATCGAAAGGTCGCCGGTTCAAACCTGCACAACGGGGTGAGTTCCCATTGCTCCATCCCAGCTCCTGCCAGCCTTGCAGTTTGAAAGCAAATGCAAGTAGATGAAAAGGTACCACTTCAGTGGGCAGGTAACAGTGTTCTGTGCACTTCGATGTTTCGTCATGCCGGCCACATGACTGCGGAGACTGTCTGCGGATGAACTCTGGCTCCTTCGGCTGGGAAACGGAGATGAGCCACCGCCCCCTAGTCAGGCATGACTGGACTTAATGTCGGGGGAAACCTTTACCTTTTACCTAAATCCGTGCCAGTCTACGCCATTTCTCTTGTTTTGCATCACTTTGCAACTTCTGCCTTGGTCCTGGGGAAGGGAGGGGAATGCGCTGAAGCCCTTCTCTTGTCTGCAGTGTCTGCAGACCGCCGCTTGCTCTTAGCCTCCTTTGCTATTCTCAGTTCATTTCCTGCTTTAGCCTCCCTGATGTTATTCCCGCAATTCCTTGCTATTTGTTCATACTCTTCCTTCGTGGCCTGGCCCTGCTTCCACCTCCCGTACATGTTCTTTTTTTCTTTCAGGCTGTCACTCAACTTTTTGTGGAGCCACACGGGTTTCCTCTGTTGTCTTCTATACTTTTTTTCTTGTGGGAATTGTTCATAGTTGTGTTTGGAGAATTTTCTTTTTCAAACTTTTCCACCCCCTTGGACTCCCCTTATTTATTTATTTCCATTTCTGTGCCACTCCATAACCCAAAAGTTCCTTAAGAGTTAATTGCCATGGCACCTCACGGATCATTGTTCTGAGTCCCTTAAAGTTGGCTTTCTTGAAGTCCAGGGAATGTGTTTGGCTGCAGTTAACCTTTGTCTCCTTTATAGTTGAGAATCCAAGTATCACAAGGTCACCTTCCCCCAGAGTTCCTGTGGCTGCTATTTTGTCCACCAGGCCATCCCTGTTAGTATTCATTCGAGAATAGCTGATCCTCTTGTTCCTTCCTCTACCTTCTGCTGGAGGAAGTTGTTGGCAACGCATCTCAGGAAACTCTTGGAGAGCTCATGTTGGGCAGAAATGGTCTGCCAGCATATATTGGGGAAATCGAAGTCCCCCGTGATGACTGCTTCATTCTTCTTAGAAATGCTGGCAAGCTGCTTTTCGAAGGTTGCATCCTTGTCCTCTTTTTGCCTGGCTGGATGGTAATATAGGCCAACAACTACATTTTTCTTGTTTTTTGCTCCCTTTAAATTTACCAGATGCTTTCAATGGGGCTACTAAGTTCCTTTTCTTGTATTTCTGTGTAGATATATGTGTCTCTTGCATATAGTGCAACTTCACCTCCATTTTTGTCTTTTCTATTTTTCTTAAACAGGTTGTATTCATCAATTGTAGAGTTTATTTATTTATTTATTTAAACATTTTTAATAATGTTCCACTCATGTGAGTCATCCAACCAAGTTTCAGTGATTCCTATAAGATCATAATTGCCCTCATGTTCATGTATGAGCTCAAGTTCATGTTGTTTGTTTCTTATATGCTGTGCCCTGGTTTTCTTCCTAGATTTTTTGGGAGACTGGTGTTGGGCCCCGCCTGAGGCTTTTTCCTCTGCTGAAATAGATCAGTCTTTGCCAGGTGGTGATATGCCGTGCTGCATGTCCCCCTCCCCCCTCCCCCCTCCCCTGAATGATGCATTTTAAGGCCTTCCTGATGAACTTTTTCACGTAGAGGCCAAACACCTGCTTCCCGTTCTTTGTGAGGTGCAGCCCGTCACTTGCCAGTGGTCCGTCTTCCAGGAAGCTTAGCTTGTGGTCCCAGAGCGCAAATCTCTCTTGACGGCACCACCTTCGTAGCCAGTCATTCACCCGAAGGACTGTTCTTTCCCCAGCAGTTGCTCTTCCACATCCTGGCGGGACACTCATTGGTCTGAGCTCTGCAGCTACCTTCGCGTTGGTGGTGAATGGAACCTTTAGTGCTGGGACTGCGTGGACAGGCCTGCGGGACCTGGGAACGTGGCTCCGAGGCCTGTGCCTGCGCTTCCCCCTTCCTAGCACTCACCCGGCTCTGCGCTGGGGCCAGGACCTCCTTCCCGTTCCCTGAGCCACTTCGCTGGCTCATTTGCCCACCAAAGAGAAAGACTTGCTCTTTTGAAAAGTGCACCTTTGATCTCTGTGGTGGCCACCCCATGGGCTTCCTGTGCCCACTTCTGGTGTCTCACCAGAGCTTGTGTCCTCTGTCTCTCGCTGGTTCAGCGTCTGGGGTGCCGGTCAAGCAGAGCATTATAGACACTGCTACAAAACCTCTCCAGCTGAGCACAACTAAAAGTTCCATTTACGCGTTACCCTGTAAACCTTTCTGGTAATATCTAACTAATTTCTTCCCGTCATCTTTCACCCAGACCTTCTTGCTTCTCTCCGATTATTCTCTTTGGGGCACGTAGGACTGAGACGGAATCCCGTGTTAAAGCTCTTGGTTCTGGATTCTGTTACTGGCAATGAACGGAAGGGTAGTGGCTCCAGGCTGCTGGGCAGGGGCTTGATCTCGGCTTTGTTTTCCCTTGCAAGTGCCAAGAGGACAGAAGTCCAGCCCTCTCCCTCCTGCTGCACGTCTCACTCCTGCAGCTGTCTCTTGGTAGCTCAGTTTGTAGTTGCACTGCCTGCTGCTTTCCAGCTATCCATGACCAGTCAGAAAAGAAGGGCCCTTCCTTTGGAACTAGGGAAAGAGGACTGCTCCAGGTCTGTCTCTGGTCCTTCTCTCTTTCCACCCCCCTCTGTCCTTGCGATGGGGTTGTACGAACCAGCAGATGGTGCCTAAGCACTCAGGTTTTCTTTTGTGCGGTGTGTGTGTGTGTCGTAAACATAAGGCGTGCCGGCTCTGTGTGGATGGCGGTGATGCACTGGGCACATCCACCATGCCAGGCTTCACACCCCTGGAACAGTCTGCTCATCCCCGTGCCAGCTCACGGGCACAGGCGAGGCTGCACGCGTGTGCAGAGCAGGACCGGGAGCAGCAGTCCTGCTTTCAAGTCCTGCAGTTTTCTGTCCTCAGAGAAACAGCAGACATGCACCCTTGATCCTGAACTGCCAGCTGAAACATGACTTAATGAATTATTGCTATATTTATAGCCCACTGTTTTTCCTTTTGCAGAGAAGCTAAGCTGGCTTACATGGGCCTTGTAACAACCCTGTGATGTGTGCTAGGCCAGGAGTTGGTACCTCACCTGAAGTCACCCAGTGAGAGGGGACGCGAAGCACGGTCTCCCCAGCCTTAAACAAGCGCTCCAAGCAGAATGCCCTGCTGGTGCCATATTAATTGTAGCATGATAGTCGTTGTATGCTTATTAAGTATATTAGTAAGTGGCTAAAGTCAAAAAATAATCGCATATCTTGCACTGTGGTTTTTTTCCTGCAAAATGTGTGGTCCCTGATTCTGCCAAGGAGCTTTTGCTGTGTGGCCTGGGCAGGTGTAACCCAAATTCCACAGCTTTGATTTGCTTTTTAACCAGGAAGTGTGTTCACATAGACTGTCTCCTCCCTCGTCAGCTTTGCAACACTGTCTTTTCCCTCCTTCCAGATTAAGAAGATGGGGAGCCTTGGACTGCTAGCAGTGGATGTCCCTGAGAAGTACGGAGGAGCAGGACTGGACTACCTGGCTTATTCCATTGCCGTGGAGGAGATCAGCCGCGGCTGCGCATCCACCGGCGTCATCATGAGCGTGAATAACGTATGGTCACCAGGCGGGCTTCTCCTGGGCCAGCCGTTGCTCCCCCTCCACCCTGAGGGCAGCGGGTGGCCAGGCTCTCTGGCTGTGCTGGCTCACGGTTAGGAGACCTACAGAAGGCCCTTGTCTCTTTTAAGTCCCTCTATTTAGGACCAGTTTTGAAGTTCGGGTCTGAAGAGCAGAAACAGAAGTGGATTACTCCCTTTTGCAGTGGGGACAAAATCGGCTGCTTTGCCCTGAGCGAACCAGGTAACTTGGGCGTCTGTGCCTCCCTGGGCTATAGGCAGAGAGGGCTGCGGTGCGGCTGGCCTGTGGTCCGTGAGCACCTCTGCTCTGCCCAGCCCTGGCTGGTCCCTGGCCTTAAAGCTTCAGAAGAACTGGGGAAGGGAGTTGGAATGACCATCGGTTGTAAACGGTGCTGCCGTATGCCATGCTTTAAAAAACTGCAGGGCTGCAAGGCAGTCCAAATTGCCACCTACGTAAATCATGTATGATGTTTGCTTTCTGTTCTGCTGAGTTACTTCCCCAGCTGTGGGGAATTTGTGCAACGCCTTGGCTTCAGAACTCACTGCAGAATTGTGTGTTGCCTGAGGACCCGCGTCCCTGCTGAGGTGGGACCGGGCCGGGCCTCGGGGCCCAGCATCTGCCCAGCAAGATGGGGCAAAATTCCATTTGGCAGCTGGAACTTGGCGCTGGCTCTGCATGCACACAACTCCCGAGAGCCTTGCCCAGGAGGCATCAGAGCCAGTGGAGGAGGGCAGCATGTGGCAGCTCCCTGCACTCCAGCACGGTCCTAGAGCGAGGCCACAGAGCCCGTGCCCTTGGTCAGGGGGGCTTCTGGCCTTGTCTTCCATGGCCCTGTGAAGGAAACGGGAGCGATGCAGGAGCAGCTTCGACAGTCGCCCGACTGGTTGGCCAGGAGTGGGTCTTGAATGGCACCAAAGCCTGGATCACCAATGCCTGGGACGCCTCCGCGGTGCTGGTGTTTGCCACCACGGACAGGGACCTGAAGCACAAGGTAGGCGCACCCCCCCCCAGGCCAGGGCACCATGCGCCTTCCGGAGCATGAGAAGCCACGGCGCTGGTCAGCCGCACCAGGGTCTGGGGCGCGCGGGGGGCCGTGCGACGTGCACGCCGGGGCCAAGTCTCACCGGGAAGGTTGCGCTGGCCGTGCCGGGCACGGCCAAGGGGCGGCAGGTGCCCCGCGCCGTGTGGAGCAGAGTGGCACTCCGCTGCCCCACTGACAGGGCTGGCCTGGCAGGGAGCGGGTTGGGCCAGGCAGGAGGAGTGGCCCCGGCAGGATGGAGGGCTGCTTCCCTCGGCAGAGGCTCGGAGGGGTCAGGCCACCCAGGGTGGGCCTCCTGCAGGGGTGCAGCTTGGCGGCCGCGCTGCGCTTTGGGGTCCCTCTGCTGCAGTCCTCAGCGCCCAGTCTTGTGAGTAGCATGTTGCTGGCCATGCGTTGCTCGTGGCGACCTCCCTCCCCCTGTCCGTCTGCCACAGGGCATTAGCGCCTTCCTGGTTCCCATGCCAACTGCTGGCCTGTCCTTGGGAAAGAAGGAGGACAAGCTGGGGATCCGGGCATCGTCCACCGCCAACCTCATCTTCGAGGACTGCCGCGTCCCCAAGGCCAGTCTCCTGGGCGAGCTGGGAATGGGCTTCAAGATTGCCATGGTGAGCGAGGCGTGTGCAGTGAGTGAGGGCAACCCTCCCCGCTGATGTGGAGAGGAGCCGGGCCTGAGATGCCCCGGTTCCGGAGCTCTCCTTTGGACCTGCCCTGGGATGGCCCTTGAAGGCCAGGAGCGCCACCTGCAGCGCCCCGCTCAGCCCCAGCAGCGTCTCCAGCTGTGCTCCACGGAGCTCTGAGCTGCCGGGCAGGCGGGGAGGCGCCACAGAGGGGGCTGATGCGTCATTTCCTCTCTCTCACACACTTCTAGTGGAGGAGTGAGACTTTTTTGGGAAAAAATGAGCTGGTTGGCAGACTTTGAGAAGAGAGAGCAGCTCCCCGCTGGAGTTCTTCCTTGCTGATCTAGTTTTTCCATTGACTCCTTACTTGTAAGCCAGGTGTCCTCTAGATAGGTCATACCACGATTCCTAGCATGCCTGTGGATGCTCGGAAGTGTAGTTCAGCCCACCTGAGGGTGCCAGGCTGGGGAGACTGCTGCGGGCTGTTTCATTCCTCGCAGAGCCGCAAGGCCAAGGTGCCTCTGGAGGCACAGAATTCCCCTGGGGTGCTTCCTGCCGGCACCCCCGGAATAGCAGAGTGCTGTGTGCCACTCTTTGGGACGGGGAGCTGTGGGCACCGCGTTGGATGTGAGCCCAGGAGGTCTGTGCCTGCAGCTTCCCAGACACAAAGCACAACTTCAGAGATGCGCACTCTGCCGGAGGTGCCTCTGTGGGGAGGGTCCCGGTCCCGCCTTCCGCAGAATCCTCGCCTGCAGGAGCCTTTGAGGAAGTGGGGCTGGTGCAAGGTGGCTGGCCATGGGGCCGCCCGTTGTGGCTTCTGTGGGGAGAGGAGCTGGGCCTCCCGCTCAGCTGGCAGCTGCCTGCATTTGCGCAGGTGCCCGCTGCTTTGATTTTCTGCCCCTGCCTCAGACATGGCGGCGGCGGCCGAGGCATTCCTGCTGCCCCTGTGGCGCATGCGCACCTCTTCATCGGGGTTCGCTTCACCTTCCTTTCAGCAAACCCTGGACTCCGGGAGGATTGGCATTGCCTCCCAGGCCTTGGGAATAGCCCAGGCAGCTCTGGACTGTGCTGTGGATTACGCCGAGAAGAGAGCGGCCTTCGGCGCCCCCATCTCCAGACTGCAGGCCATCCAGGTAAGGGGAAGGCTTTCTGGTCCTGGATGGATGCCCAAGCGCTTCTCAGGAGGCCCAGCAAATTTGCTGCCTGGGAGGCGGCTGCAGGAGGCTCGCTGGGACGGCCCAGGCCGTGGGGCTGCAGAGGGGCAGGCAGGCCGCTTTGCAGCCCAGACTGCCGTTCTTCCGGGGCCCCACTGGGCATTCACACGTGTCGGGGACTCTGCGCCTGTGCAAAGCCGCAACGGAAAAAGCTTCAAGCGCTCGGGGTGGAAGGACCCCCCCCCCTTCTGGTACCTGTGTATATACTGGGAGGAGCTCCCGCCCAGCCCTCCGCTGCCCTGGAGACTGCCAGTGTTCCCAGCCGGAGCGGGAGCGACACCAGCCCTGGCCTCGGGCCGGGGAGGGGGGGAGGGCATGGCCGGAAGGCAAAACCCGGGGGGCGGGGCGGGCGGGTTGTGGGAATGCACAGGTGAGCACTGCCTGCCTTCTTGGTGGTCTCTGCATCAGGCGCCCCCTGTGTGGGACGGAGGGGCTGTCGGGTGAGACCACCGCCCTGCCTTGAGCAGCATCCAGGAGCTGTGTCTCGCAGAGGTCGCGGGGCGGCCCACTTGGGAGCTCCTCTGCATGGCTCCCAGGGGTGCCAGCGCCTCCCCCCGTGCCAGCAGCGTTGGGGGGAGGAGGGTGGTCCTGACCTGGGAGGGGTGGGAGGGTATCGAGGGTGATCCCGTGGCCCAGTTCCACAGCCGGCAGGGCACAGAGTGCTGTGCTCGCTTCCCGGGCAGGGAGGAATTGGGCGAGGGGCCCAACGAGGTGGTGGGGCTGCCTGGAGGAGGCCGTCAGTGCCTGCTCTGGCGCTTCGCGGGCAGTCACAAGTGGCTGGCGAGTCGCATTTCCCGCATGGAGAGGCACCCTCCGCCCGGAAGGAGCAGCTGCGAATGGGTGCTGCGGGGCTGCCTGCAGGATCCCAGCCGCTTGCGCTGCCTGGGCTGGTGGGTGCAGGAGGCAGCAGCAGGCCAGTGGGTACCACCCTTGGCAACGTGCTCTTCACGGGCAGAGGAGACCGGAGGAGCGGCTGGCAGCCTGGCCTTGCAGGTGGCTCTGCCATGAACTCCATCCCACTGCAGGGAAGCAGCAGAGAGGGAGGGAGAACTGGAGGCAGAAAGTTGGGTAGGAAAAAAGGGCGGGTTTAGAAGAGTGTTGGTGTTTCTTATTTTAATAGGATAGGGCGATGAAATACAGGTTTAATTGAGGGAGGTCACAGAGGAACAGCAGTTGATGTACTTGGTGGAAAAAGCTGAGCAGAAGCAAACGGAACAGAGGGGCTGGGCAGGAGCGCCTCTCCTTACGTGCACGGGGGGAACGGGCGGGGGGAACATGTCCCCTCTGGTCCACCGCACCCTTAAAGCAGTTCCCCAGTCCAGGCATTGCACATGCCCAGAAGCCCGCGAGGAAGGTCGGGGGCCATGCTGCCGGCTCTGTGCCCCTTTGCCTTCTTCTTGAAGGGCAGTGCTCTCCTTTTGGTGTCAGGAACAAAAGTGGCAAAGAGCGCTGAGCGCCAGCACCGCCCTGCCGCCAAGGAACGCATGGCACAGTCAGTGAGGCGCATTTGCCACAGGTCCACTGAAAGGGGTGGGAAATGCCCTGGACTGCGCCCATGGCAGCGCCTTGCGAGGCGGGGCAGCCCGCCTGACCCTTTGTGGCGACGGGCGTCTGCCAGACCCGCGCCCTACGCCGCCCCTGTTCCTCACGGGGTCGAATCTGCAGCCCCTGCATGGAGCGGCTCCTTGCGAGCCCAGGGCACATGCCGGCCGCCCACGGGCGCTGGGCTGGCCTGACCGCCGGGTGCCTTCTCGTTGCAGTTCAAGTTGGCTGACATGGCCCTGGCCCTGGAGAGCGCGCGCCTGCTGACCTGGAGGGCAGCCATGCTGAAGGACAACGGCCGGCCATACACGCAGGTGCCCCACCTGGCGCCCCCGGGAGGCCCCTGCACGAGCCCTTCTGGTGCCAGGCTTCCTGACCGGCCGGGGTGCTGGTAGCTGCCCCACGCTGCGGGGAGGCGAGGCGGGGAATGGTGTCGACTTCTCTGGAGCCTGTGCCCTGCCATGCCTCTTTCTCAACAGGAAGCCGCCATGGCCAAGCTGTCTGCGTCGGAGGCCGCAACATCCGTTGCCCACCAGGTAAGTGCCTCCTCCCTGCCCGAGGGGCATCCTGAGAGCTTTCTGCCAAGAGGTGGAAGCAGCTCCTCCTGTAGCTCACAAACAGCAGCGGGGCAGGACCAGCCCACGTGGCTCGCCGGCCTCGGACAGAAGGGAGCTCCGCAGCCCCTGGGCACGCGGGGCTGAGCGAGCGGCAGCAGCTGTGGGAGAGGAGCTGCCCGGCGTCGCCCGGCTTGGGCTGCCTCCCCGGCCACCGCAGGGCCCCGTCCTCCCCCGGGCGGCTCCTGGGTGTGCCAGCGTGTTCCCGCCCTGCTAGCTGGGCACGCTCGGAGTCGTGGTCCAGGGCATCCGAGAGGGATGGGGGCTGCGGTGGCTTCCTGGGGAGGGTGAAACAGTGCTTTTCCCACAGGCGATCCAGATCCTGGGTGGGATGGGCTACGTGACCGAGATGCCGGCGGAACGCCACTACCGCGATGCTCGCATCACGGAGATCTACGAGGGCACCAGTGAGATACAGCGGCTGGTGATCGCGGGGCAGCTGCTGAAAGCGTATCGTGGCTGAGCGCTTGTCTTCTGCGGGCCTCTGCCGCTGTGTGTGGACGGTTTGTCTGCTGCTGGTGTGCAGAGATGCGGGGACTCGTCCTGGCAGCCCTGCAGAGACTGACCGGCCCACCACCACTCGCCCCCGTGCTTATCCTGCACGGTGTCAGATCGAGGCAGCAGGTCTGGCTGAGAGTCAGTTTGGCCTGGTGACGTTTTAGGTTTTGCTGACATGGGAGCTTCGTACACAATGATAAGCAACTTCTATTATTTTGCACCCTGTGCCTTCCAGAGCAGCCAGAAAATGAGACTGCGCCAGGCGCCTTGGACGCGGCCAGGGCCTGCTGTGCGCACTGCCAGCTCTCACACACACATGCAGTGTCTGGTTCAGAGTTGCCGTTAATAAATTACTGGGCTGTCTTGTCTGAAGAGCGGAAGCCTAGTGGTTAGTGGTGGGGAGGCCAAGAATGCTGGGACCGGGGGTGGGGGGATTTTTCTCCAGGACTAACCCTGGAAGTGAAGGTAGAGCGGGGCGGGTGGGGGATCCAGTTAATGCCGACTCGAGCTGCTGAAGGGCAAGTAAGGCAGCTCTAAAGATGAGGCCCATGCAAGCTTTGTTCAGCCTGGTGCCCTTTAGTGCATTGTACCACAATGCCCGTCATCCCCAGCAGCATCTGTGGCAAGTACTGAGTTGGGAAGCGCTGCCCCAGGTTGAAAGCCTCGTTGGTGCACTGAGACGCGCTCATTTCCCTCCAGAGATGCGGCCACCCTGAAACAAGGTGCGGTTCCACCTTTGTGCACAACGGGCGGTTATTAATACTTGCCGACTCGTTTTCCAAGCGAGAGTAAAGCAGGGGGGCAAATGCCTGCCTTGCGGGCCTCCTTTGCTTCCTGCTCAGCTCAGTAGAATGCCCAGATGTGCCAGCTGGGGCCTGGCCCAAAGCACTGAAGGGCTCTGAGCCAAGGAGCCGGGGCTCAGTGCCAGAAGTGGCCCTGCCAGGCGTGCGTCCGCCTGGCCACTCCCCACGCCCCCTTTAGCTTGGCAATGCAGTTCTTCGGCTAGAAAGCCGCCTCTGCTGCTGTGGCGAAGCCACTGGAGTTGGGCATCCCGGCTGGAGGTCTTCGGGAGACCCCGGCCAGCCTTCTGACGATCCCTGAAACTCCTGACGTGCCGCCATGGATGCCTTTGCGCTGAGGCCCCACGGAAGGTGCGTGTCCCTCGAGACATGAGCGAGCAGCATTGCAGGCTGCATCTCTGGTGCTGCAACTTTCCCAGACTGGGGAAGCTTTCCGCTTCAGCGGTGGGGGGGCTGCATGCCCCAGCAGCAGTTATCCAGTGAGCAGCTGAGGAAAACTGCCCCACTGCACCCCCCCCCCGCCCCCAGTGTCTGTGATCTGCATTGAGGCGACAACCCCATGACCCACACTTCCCCACGGTGAAGACGAGAGTCACCACGCCTACCCAAGAATACTCCAGACATGGGATGGCACCTGGTTGTGGCTGCTGACAATGATGGCCAAGTGAACGTCCATGAACAACAGCCGACTCCCTGCCTGCGGCAGCGTCGAGCAGCTGGTCTGCGAGCACAAGGCAGGATTTCGGCTGCGACAGCAGCTTCTCTCCCTGGGCAGCATGATGCTGTCTCACCATGCGCAGCGCAGAGCAGAGGGAGGGCATGCGAAGAACACCGCTGCCGTGTTTAGTGAAAAGCCCGTTTCTTCCACAGCCACTTTGAAATTAACCTCAACAACTGTGCTTGCAGACCATAATATTCTGGGGAGGCCTACTCCATGTCCCCAGACTGTGAGATAGTTGTCTATATGACACAGGTTGCATGAAAAATGGGACTTCTGGGGTGTTTGTGAGACCACTTGGCTCCCAATTCTAATTTTTCAGAAAGCTGGTTGCAGAGGCTCCTCGAATCGCTCTGCCCTCCCTCCCTCCGGTATTTGCCGTCTTTTGGCTCAGCAGCATTTACTTTTGCTACTGTTAGCACAAGAATGCCACACTGAAGGAAGCCAATATTCACCCCCCCCCCCCCCCCACTCCCTCAGAAGAGAATAAGTTGTGAGTCAATTTAAAAAAATGAAAATTTACATCGCAACGCAGGACCAACTCAAGCCACAAAAATACTCTGCAAGCTTTGGGGTCCAGGGCCCTTCAGCGGCGGCTGGCTGACTAAGGCAGGTGGGTGGGCAGGAAGGGGTCAGCGGGTTGCTGAACGCAGGCTCTGTCACTCGATCACCAGCCGTTTCCCACCAGGCAGGAATCGCAACAAGGGACCAGGGTGTTAACCGCACGACATGCTCATGGCAATGTACTTGGACACTGTCCTCTAGCAGACACTTCTGCTGTCAGTCCAAGCAAATTGGACAGTGCCGCACCAATAAGGCCCAAAATACACAGAACAGAGCAGGCGCCTGAGTCCTGGGAACCGGGTGAGCACCACAAGCTCTTGACCACCTCAAAGCCTTCCCTGGGTGTGAGCAGCTGCCAGGGGGATGCAGCCCACTGGGGGGGGGCAGTGGCAGAGCCCCCGTTGTGCATGCTGTGGACCCAGGCCAGATCCCAGGAGCCTTCCCTTAGTGCCCGGAAAGAGACCTGCCCAAACCCCTGGGCAGTTTTGGCTGCAGGTTGGTACTGGCTGCCAGAGTGCCATGTGGCCCAGCTGAAAGAGTGTCTTTATTGACGGTATCTGATAAGGAACATGGAACTCAGAGTGGGTACCCTAAAATTGGCTATGAGCCACCCCCCCACCCCCCAGTAGGGGAATGTCCCCAACTGGGTGGCACTGGCCACCTTCATAAAGTGGTCGCAGTTCAATCTTCTTGAGAGAGAACACTTCTGGGGGTGTGGTTTTGGGGGGGTTCACATTTTAAGGTGGGGTGCATCCCCAAGTTACTTGCTCTTCCCTGCAGTTGTGAGCTGGCATTGGGTTCACCCTGGACTGGATGTGATTCAGTGCCATGGCTTGGGGCCAGCCCCACAGAAAGGGTGGTGTATGAATGGCCCAAAGCTTGGGGGTCACTTCCAGCTGCTCCCTGATGGGCCCATGAGCTCACCCAAGCACAGAGTCCCCACATCCACAGTCCATCCCAGACCCAGAGAAGGAGGTTTAGTTCCAGAAACATCCCCCCACCCCATCAGCCAGGATCGATCGGATCAGCCTCTCCCTAGACTAGACATGTTCTGAGGAGGCAGTGGGCACCCCCTTGAGCCCAAGGGCTTTTTCTCTTGCTAGAACCCGGAATTGTCCCAGAAGTGCTGTAACTGGTCCCAGCTGGTCAATGCCAGCACACTGTTAAAAACCCAGAAGTGGGGGGCTGCTGCAGGTCCTGAGCATGGAAGGACAACAGATTCTGTTTTAACAGAAAATTTAACAGATTCTGTCATTGTTACAGAATTTCTGGAAAATTTGAGGAGGCTGAGGTGCTGGCCATGGGCAGCCTGTTAAATAAGCAATTTAAGAGAACACAAAATACGTGGGGTAGGAGGAGTTGTTCCACACATTCCTAGAAGGTCATCATTTTCACAGAACTATTTGACATTACAGACAAGAATAGTTTCTGCTTTTGTTCATGATGAATTTTGGCATTCACCTCAACCAAAAGTGCCCTTTTCTCTTTCTTTGCAGAATCCCCCGTTTTATGTTGAGGGCCTGAGAAGGGCGGGTGATGGGAGGCTTCCGGGCACCCTAGAGCCCTTGAACAAGCCAGGGTTGCTCGCTGGTGTGGACACTACCCTTCCAGGTTCAGACAACACAGCAGCCCGTGTTTGACACGGGTGACTTTGAAAATGAGGTGGCCACTGTGCTTCTTTTCCTTCCCTGATTGAGAAAGTCTGACCAAAGCGTTTTATGGCAACTTTCCTTTAGCACCCCTTTCTCCCCTTTGCTGGCTTCATCATATCATTTGTTTCAAATTTAGCTCTCGACAGGTAGGGCAAATGCTTGACCCTGTCACATTTTCTCCACAATACAAGGGTCCATGTAAGCCAAACAACCAGCTCAAGTGCCAATATAAGTTGAAAAGAATATAAACTGCAATAAAGGAAGTTGTTTCAAGTTGTTTCTGCATGGAAGTTATGCAGAAAATACTAATTTTGCAAAATCAGCATAACTGGTAAGAAATACAGGGCTTAGAGGTTCCAGCTAACAAGTTAGGATGAGCTCATGCGGTTTGACATGCAGGTGGAGCTACATGCTGGAAATCTGGCCACTTTTAGGACCTGTGCTAAGGACAACAGAAGCCGATGGAAAGGTACCTGCTTGTTGCAGTCTATGTTCACGCAATAAGTGTATTTGCATTTACTCTACTGTGATTATATTGTGCCACTCCACCTCGGGCGCATTCTTACATTGTCTGTGGTGGCATGATGAATTTGGAGAGAGAAAAGCAGACTGCTAAGGGACTCGTGCGCCCAAAGCGGTGGGGCGCAGTCATCCTCTGCCGCTGAGTGACCCCCCAGCCCCCACTGAACCTGAGTGCTCCACGGCAGGGGCAGGAAGGGCTGCAGACGCTGTCGGTTATGCTCCGCAGATGCCAGCACCCCAAAGGGAGAAGCCCTGCCTTGCAGAAATAACCCTGGTGTGGTGTGGGGGAAATGTTGCTACTGGAAGGGGGCTGCAAGAAGCCTGTGAACCAGGAGGTTCCCGCTGTGGGACTTCTAGGCCGTGAAGGGCATGCAGGGTCCAGCTTCACGAGGCTCCCGGTGTTCCTCCGCTCCGCTGACTCCATATCCCCCTGAGCAAGAAAAAGGTGGCTCAACAGGCGCATGAGGAGCAGCAGTCCTAAAGACCCCTTCCCCTCTGCCACACGGGGGCCATCCTAGCATGAACTAGACCCAGGATGAGGGAGAGAACATCAAGGATTCTGAACACGCGGGCACTCTACCAGGGATCATCAGTAGCAGGGAGCCGTAATAGGGTTTCATTGCAGGGTTAATTCTGCAGAGTGTTATTTTAACTGGTCATAAATGCACCCTTCAGTTCTGTTCTGTTTAAAATGAGTGCTCAGTGTTACAAGCTGGAGAACGTGGCCTGTAAAATTGCTTCCTCCTGCAGGGCAAAGTCAAAGCAGGAAATGCTAAAGGTTTTAAACGGGAAAATACCTATTATTATTATTATTATTATTATTATTATTATTATTATTATTATTATTACATTTCTATGCCGCCCCTTGCTGAAACCTCTTACAACACAATAAAATACATTGAAATACAACCCAGCCCAGGGAGAATCCCCCTCCCCACCTTTGATACTTAGAATCATAGAATAGTGGAGTTGGAAGGGGTCAGAAGGCCACCAGGTCCAACCTCAGCTATTGCAGGACACGAAGTTGCACCAACCCACTCAAACGACTCTCCAGGCGCTTTCTGAATGTCTCCAGTGTGGGAGAGTTCGCAACTTCCCCAAGTGATAGGCGCCATT